GCCTCGCACCGAGGACCTATCCACGTCATTTACCCAAAATGCTTTGTGTGTAAATAAAATGGCTCCGTCCGTGTTAATATATATTTTAAAAATTACAAAACTAAACAGCCTACAGTATTTTACAGTTAAAATATATGTTTATCAAATAAAGTCTAATGTTTCAGCTAATCATGGATCCCTTAAATTTTTGTTGCTTTCTCATAAAACTTTTGTTTTGTAACTTTTACTGTGATGAGCATAAAATACATTACAAGAATTGTTTTGTTAGTCYATACTTAAATACTATTGTTGGGTTTGTCATCTTTGTGTGATATTAACAACTGATTACTAAATATATAAAAATAGTTCTTTCCATCTCATACTGCTGCTCCTCAAACTACATAAAATAATTTAAAATATGTTAACAACAACTGTCCAATTTCTGAATCTATTTCTGAGGTAGAYCTAACATCTCAGTGGCACAGAGTAAACATTCATCTCCCACTAACGTACCAGTTTACTAATCTCATCCTGACGGTCTGGTGCTGATCGGGCTGTGGCTCGGATCATAGTGGAGGTCTGATTGTCAGTCAGCTTTTTGATGCAGCGCTGTCCTGCCACTATGTTACACACCTGGAGAAACAAGAAACAAGTTTTGATTGATCAAAATCAATAATAAAAGGGTGAGTTTTCAGTAAAATACTTTAAGTCTAACCAGTTGGCAGTGCTTACCTCTAGAGGGAGGTAGGTGTGCTTTTGCTCTTGTCCCACCTGTAAACATGGGAGGTGGGGGTATCGCAGGATAAGCTTGTACTTGTCTTTAAAGTACTGTGCTACTGTGCATTCAATAGTTTGTCCATTCTCTTGCTGCAAGGGAAACCTAAAATACAGAAAAACAATCAGCTAATCTTCAATGCAACAAGAAACAATTCAGATTCAGTTGAAGTTCAGACTTTCAGCTTTAATTCAGTGGGTTGAACAAAATGATTGCATAGAAATGTGAGGAACTAAAACATTTTTAAAGACAATCCCTTCATTTCAGAGGCTCTAAAGTAGTTGGACAAATTAAATAATTGTAAATAAAATGTCCTTTTCTATTTTGTTGTCGATGACTGCCTGAAYTCTTGAATTCATGGACATCACCAGACGCTGTTTCCTCCTTTTTAAAGCTCTGCCAGGCCTTCACTGCGGCCGTTTTCAGTTGATGTTTGTTTGTGGGCCTTTCTGTCTGAAGTTTGGTCTTTAACAAGTGAAATGATCAGTTGGGTTGAGATCAGGTGACTGATTTGGTCATTCAAGAATATTCCACTTCTTTGCTTTAACAAACTCCTGGGTTGCTTTGGCTTTATGTTTTGGGTCATTGTCCATCTGTAGTATGAAACATTAASCAATCAGTTTGGCTGCATTTGGCTGATCTGAGCACACAGTTTGGCTCTGAATACTTCAGAATTCATTCAGCTGCTTCTGTCCTGCGTCACATCATCAATAAACACTAGTGACCTAGTGCCACTGGCAGCCATGCATGCCCAAGCCATCACACTGCTCTGCTGTGTTTTACAGATGTGGTGCTTTGGATCATGAGCTGTACCACACCTTCACCATACTTRTCTCTTTCCATCATTCTGGTAGAGGTTGGTCTTGGTTCCATCTGTCCAAAGAATGTTCTTCCAGAACTATGGTGGCTTTTTTAGATGTTTTTTAGCAAAGTCCAGTCTAGCCTTTCTATTCTTGATGCTTATGAGTGTCTTGCAGCYTGCAGTGATCTGTATTTACATTCCTGCAGTCTACTCTTTATGGTAGATTTGGATATTGATATGCCTAACTCCTGGAGAGTGTTGTTCACTTGGTTGCAATTGTGAAGGAGTTTCTCTTCATCATGGAGATTATTCTGCCATCATCCACCACTGTTGTCTTCTGTGGGTGCACAGATCTTTTTGCATTGATGAGTTCAGCAGTGCTTTCTTTCTTTCTTTCTCAGGATGTACCAATCTGTAGATTTTGTCACTCCTAATATTGCAGCAATTTGTCAGATGTGTTTTTTCTGTTTTTGCAGCTTAAGGATGGCTTGTTTCACCTGCATGGAGAGCTCCTTTGACCACATCTTTTCTTCACAGCAAAATCTTCCAAATGCAAGCACCACACCTCAAATCAACTCCAGGCCTTTTATCTGCTTGACAAGAGATTGCCCACACCTGCCCATGAAATAGCCTTTGAGTCAATTGTCCAATTACTTTTGGTCCCTTTAAAAGCAGGATTGGGTTTAGGACTCTAAACCCTCCATACAGTTTTAATGTGGATACCCTCAAATAAAGATGAAAGTCTGGAATTTATGCCCATTATTTAACTATAGTAAACAGCTAAAAAAACAAACAAAAAAACTGATAAAATGTTATATAGTTAGGTCCATATCTATTTGGACACAGCCAAAAGTGACTGAAGATAAATAAAGGTATTCTCACGTTTGGTGGCTGGCTGGTCTTCTGGTCACGTTGCAAACTCTGTACTTTCTTTTCATCTGCCCACAGTGAGTAATCTCAACCTTCAGGCCTAAGTAGGGCAACAACAATAACAGAGGTAAGAAAATACCCCCAAAAATAATGACAGAGGCCATGTTACATTTTTTACATGAATAGAAGTGAAATGCTGAACTAGATATTCTCAAAAATATTTCATAAAAATATCTGAAGATACKAACGACTCTAATTAAAAAAATGAATGAATAACAAATYGGATAAAAGTAAAACTCTTAAAATAATTGCTGTGGAAAAAATAAAAAAAGGTTTACATACCTTTGATTTCTTTTGTAAATTTTACTCGCTGAGAGTCCGTTAAAGGCTTCTGTTGCTCCTCAATGCTTTTGAAATCCAAAACTTCACACATAAATTCAATCACAGGCTGAGCCTTGTAGAAAGCAGTGGCAGAAACTGCAAAACAAAACAAGCACACCGTGGTTAGGATTTGCYGAAACAAGTTGGTTTGATCAATTTTTTTCTCCAAAGTTGCATCTAAATATTACCATCAATATTGAGCATCATTTTCCAGAGAGAAGGCCTGACAGACTGGTGGAACCCAAACCACACCTCTCTGCCACCACCAAGAGGGTTTGAGCATCCTTCTGAAGGAGTGAAGAAAGAGCGGCCCACTGGGGTGTATCTGTAACAATAAAAATATTACATTTTATAAACTTTATATACTGAATTTTAAATAAATCTGGAGAGGATTATACAATATACCGCAGTAAGGTCATTTGGAAACATTTTAAAAGACAAACTATATTCAGTAATGGTGAAACAATAAATGTGGACCAAACCTCATAGAGGGCAAATGCCTCATGACRACATCCAAGGCCTGAATAGTTTCAAACGGGACACTGGGGAGTCGTCCTGACAGCGCTTCATGCAAAGCCTGCAGACTAACGCAGGACATCCATTTGATGGACACTTTAAAGCTGCGATCTTTGCCTTCACCTGGAATTGTCACCTCGAGCTCAACCTGAGAGGAAGARGAGCAAGAAAACAACAAATGAGACTGTGTGAGATGATTGGTCTGATTTTAAATAAACAATAAAACTGAATATTTGTGTAATACAAAATACACACTTTGTCTCTGCCTATAGGCAAAGGCATGGCAGTGTAGAGGTTTTTCCTTCCGTCATACACAGGCTTTCTATCTCCAAAGATCTGYGTTTTAAAGTGCTGGACCATATGCTCCACAATTTCACTGAGGACAACAGACAGATCACCACAATGACCCAAACATTTGCATTCACTAATCAGCAGATAAAACCAACAAGCTGAACCTACCGATTAACCCTCCTGGGACATTTTTCAGGCTTGATGTCTATATCGTAATGATAGACCTCCAATTTGGGGATTTCCATCTCAAAGAAGTTYGCCTGGAGTTTTATTGCTCTGCCCATTGTGCCAAAATCTGGCCGTGATGGTGGTTTGAACACATACTCTGGCAATGGGGAAGATGGGGGGTCTAAAAGAAGTCAGTCAAAATCCAGTTAGAAAGGGAACATGGAAACAACACATTTGACTTGAAAATGTGCAAGATTGTTTCTAAAATGAAAATAAGCAGAAATAAAATAACTTCAGACTCCCAAGAATTAGTTTCTGGACCAAAAAAAGGCTTTAGCTTTGGAGCAGCTATGCGAGTTTTCCCCTTTGGTTCAATAGGTTTTACAAACATCAGAAAATGAGCCATGTTTCATTKAAATAAATACATTTACTGCAAGTAACACTTCATTATTTGAATATGTGCTCTAAACAAAAGTATCTTTGTATCACAAGGACATTGATGAGTTGGTTATTATGAACAAAGRGAGTAAAATTTGAATTGTTGAAAGATGAACAGTCGTAACATTTGTMAATTCCTCATTTTCACTCTCTTTAACTCTTAAAGGAGTCTTTATTTCATTCTTGGTAGACATGCTCACCCAAGAAGTTTCATATCTGCAACTTTGGATATTTAGTCTGCCAGAGGACACCAGTTTCTCACTCCTTATCTTCACGTTCCAGCTCTGTTCATTCTTACAAACACCCATAAATGACCCTGATGCACCGAGACGACTACAGACTGTCAAATAGTCAATGCCTATCGCCCTTGTTTTGTTTATTTTTACCTCTCAAATGCATCCTGCAAACTGTTCAATCCTATTAATATTTTTAGTTGATGCCGACTCAACATTAAATAAACAATTTGGGTGGAGACACTTTAGCACAGCAATTGTTTTGCATTTTAAAAGTGTGCAACTTAAATGCTTGATAAAAGAATTTGTGTACACGTACATGAGTTGGATTTAAAATAGTTTTTGTGCAATATAAACACACTGCTCTGCAAACATGACCTGTTAGGAGAATAAAGTAGTTTCTCGTGTAAAATTACAACATCTGATCAAAGTTTCACATACAACGCTGCTATGTGACATGCCTTCTGACCTAAAATTGTTTAGAAAGTATGCACACCACAATGCTTCAAGCATGCATTCCCACCTAAACCATGCTACAACTAGGACCGGTTTAGGGTTTTAAGGCCAACATTAGGGAGAAAACTTACCAGAACTTATTGACCCAGAGGAACGAGGCCTCTCAAGAATCTCACCTAGAGCAGACAAAAATGACATGTTATAAATSTAGAAAACTGCACTTGGCCTCAAGCACTCTTTAGTTAAATATGAATGAGTAAAAATGTACACTCAACATCTACTTTTTATGCCTGAAGACTTAAAAATCAACTCAAAGTATTTTCTTGGACAAACAAAAACAAAAGTAAAGAGTGCTCCTCATCTTTTTAAATGTATTTTTGAGTTGGCAGCACTTGGTTTATTTCAGGTCTTGCTCTCTTATCATCATTACGAACACCATCGTCTACAATGAAGGAAGTGTTATCTATAAACACACAGACGGGATAAAACAAGCTGGCAATCTAACAAGAATGAAGCCACCCTTTCTCCAGGAAACAATTCTGAAATAAAAATAAGTCATTACTCTTTTTGATTATATACTTTGTGAAGACGACGCCAGACAGCCTCGGAAAAGTTATTTAACAAACACATTTTCTGTTTTGCTGCAATACTTTGTCTTTAAATTTTGATTTGAGGAGACCATTACCTTTTGTTTGAACAACTTGTGTGCATTTTCATGATTAAATTAAGATGTAAGCTGTGCTGCCTGCATAAGATGCTCAGTTGCCAACCTGTTGTCCATCAATCTGAATTACTCTACAGCAGTGTTTCCCAAAGTTGGGGTTGGGACCCAAAGTGGGGTCCTGAAACAAGATTTTCTGAATTAATTACATTTTTGTCTTGGTTGTTACAAAGGAGTGAGGTTAGTACATTTTAAATGGATAAATGTAGTATAAAAATATTGTTACTATGCCCATGTTTAGTTGACCTGATACAAATGTTTATCATCCAAACAT